TCATTGGATTTCAATGAAACTTTTAAAGAGTACCCATCACATTTCAATGAACCTAAGACTATGCACCATATTAGTTTTTGGTAAATATTTATGCTTCTTAATCACCTAATTAACATAATTAATTAATACTGATATCTCAAGTATTGATCATCGCATTTGAATAAAACTTGGTACATAAATGCTCTAGGACAATAGACAGCCTGATTAATTTGGGGTTAAAATCTGTTCATATTAATTCTCTAATTAGCATAATAATTAATATTTTTTTGGTTCTAATCACATTTCAATGAAACTTGGTACATTGTGCAGACCTTTAGTTTTACACTTAAATCTGTTCATATTACCGGTAGTTACCTTATTTGCATAATTAGTTTTCAGCTATTCCATCAATATCTCAAGGATAAGTAATTTTGAATTAATTTTTAATGTGTCTCCAAAACTCTCAGCACACAGGAGTTCTTTCTAAGCTTTCTTTGATTATAATTACCATAAAGATTTGTGAATAAAATCACCTCATAGCTTAATTGTATGTTTGTTTCTACTTTTCATTAAATAAATGAATTTCTGTGGATTATAGTGATGGTTTCTTTTGGGAATATAATATTGGAAAGAGCTTCTTTTCCATGGGATCATTACCAAAATGTTATCATGTATATTTTAGTATTGACTTTCAAACGGAGGATGTATTTGGTGACAAATGAATGGAGATTATTGCTAGAATCATTTGTCCCAAATACCAAGTATGTAGTTTCATGTAAAACAAAATATGAACTTATAAAATGTGTGATTCTTTTTTTTTTTTACATTAGTTTATTATAACTGCCTGGCCAAGACCTGGATTTAGCTGGGCATGCGCTGATATGGACTATAGTGATGATCCAATGGCAGTTAGGGTAAGTTTAACTCATAAATCTCAGAAATGGGTATTCTAATGTTACCGGTACATAATAATATAAAATAAAACAGTTTAAAATACAAGCATGCTTTTCCATGCAAAAATTCCATTTGGGGATGCCCATGTGATTTTGAAGGAAATTCTAATTTCAGCGTGGCTCAAACCTATACCCTAGCTTTAGCATATGTCACAATCCTTCATTTGTATTATCATTGCTGGGATTCAATGACAAATACACTTTCGAAATATTTATGGTAATTGTTGAATTCAACATCTGATTCAAATACCAAAATATTAAATGCAAAAATGATTATAATAATGTAATAATAACATTACCAATAGTCATTTGTGTTTTTTTTTTTTTGAACAGCTTGCAGGAGCATGTTGGTGGTTTTTCTTCTCAAAGTTTATTGAATTCATTGACACGGTAAGCAATAAACAATTATTGAAAACTAATAAATTAAATTTAATTTTTGCTTTCCTAACAAATCTCTTTATTGTGTGATACATGTAATGTATTTTTTAAGAACATTTTAAAGTCATACAAGTAGTAGTGGCAAACTGTTCAACGTGGGTGGAATAAATTCCAAAGGGCCAATAATACTTAGCCAATCACTAATAATCTGTTGGTATATTTGGTCTGTATAGTTTTTGAAGTTGATCATCTAAAAATTGCATTTTTGTGATTTTTTTTAGTGTGTTATGAGTAACTTATTTTTTTCTACATTCTAATTGGTTGATTATTGGCAAACTTGTATATATATGGATAATATATTTGATAGATAACCTTCCCTGCCATATGCAGTTATCTTCCATACCCTTTGTAACCCATCTTCCTATCTTATACTGTCATCTGTCCCACCTACGTAATGATATCTTTTATTCTATGCTATGATCTGCTCCTCTATACAGGGCAAGCCATTAAAATAAATTGTTAAAATGGTGTTTTGATTATAATCAGTTTACCTTGATACTTTAATGAATATCATCAAGTAAAACTAAATAAAATATTGTAAAATATAAATGTTTCTAACTATTCTTCATTCAAATAGGTCTTCTCCACATAGAAACCTAATCTACATTGTATGTTGAATTCAGAAATAAATGTTGGACAAATAAGACTTTACTGTTTTTTTAAATAAAAGGATTTGGTTGATTTAAATTTAATGTGTATTGATAATGAAAGTACTGTAAAATACTTTATTTTAGCTGGAATTAATTTTCGCTGAAAATTATACACCCTTTTCATAAAGAGGACGCTTGTGCGAACTATGACCTCAAAGTCATCAAGGCGAAACAAAAACAAGGCCAATAGCCGGAAATGTTTTGTATGGAATTTATTTTTACTGATTTCAGACGAGTTGAATGTAAAATATAGGGTAAAAGGTATATTGGCTGTATTTTATTTTCACTGAATCATTCCTTTAGCAAAAATAGAGAAAATTAATTCGAAGCAAAAAAAAAATTTTTTTTTCAACGGTATTAGAGTTTGTGGGGTGAGCAAGTTGACTCGCACAACATCTATAGTATAGTACATGCATAGTATATGTGTTGATTATTCTCTCTTTTCTCAGTTTATTTTCATATTGAGGAAAAAAAGTAACCAGATCTCGTTTCTCCATGTGTATCACCATTCAACTATGCCCATACTTTGGTGGATTGGTGTCAAGTTTGTACCAGGTGGACAGTGTAGGTGTTTTCATTTTAACATATTGCAGTATTTGCTCAATTATTTTGCATTTGCTTACCTAAATGACAGCAGTTTGTCTAATGATTAAATTTACATTGAATACATTTTTTTTTGTGCATTTCTATTTGAAATGTGTTCTAAAATGGGTAAATATTGTGTTCTTACTGGGAAAAAATTTGGTTGTAATAAAAGTATTAAATATGTTTTTAAATATTAAACATGTTTTGAAATACCAATCTGGGATTCTAATTTTGTATGGTTTGATGTTTGGCCATGAATTGTTATCTTTGGCAATGGAATACAATAAATATTTAGCATAACTAGAACACCTAATTGTATATTTTATTGCAATATCACAAATACAAATACAGATTTTTTTATTTTTATTTGTCCATCACTCTAGCAATACATATGCACACATTTTGTCAACAATAAATAAATAAATGTTTATTTATTTCATTTTGCAGCGTTTTTTACAGCAATGTTCAACAGTTTAATTCATGCTATCATGTACAGCTATTACTTGTTGTCGGCTCTAGGACCTGGAATGAAACCATACTTGTGGTGGAAAAAATATCTTACTTCACTACAACTGGTGAGTACATAGTATAAATACATACATGCCCATTAGAAAATAATTTACAACATCATTAAAGCTATGTTCTTTAGTGGCTTGTTATGTTGTCTTTGCTGTCACATGACTTTCCTTTCAATGCAAGATCTCCCGGACTGAACATCTGCTGATTTTAAATTTCTTTTTTTTTGTTGAAATGCAGAACTTTGAAAGGGAAGTATGGCATTAATTGAGCTACACTCACTTCAGCGAAATTGACAATCATCAAATGTGTATAGCACATTATTAAGCATGGAAATACCCCAAAAATTAGTGTCGTGATTGTTGAATCTATAATCAGTTGTTGAATCTGTGTTTTATAATCAACATTTGTCCAGGTCAGCAGGGCATTTGTATTTACAAGTGAAAATTCAATGTATGTGTTAATCATATTAAATATTTTGTATCCTCACAGGCACAGTTTATACTGGGAATGTTCCAGACATTAACAGGTCTATTTGTTGGATGTAACTACCCAAAGGGATATCTCTATGCATTGGTTATCTATTTGTTTTCTCATCTAGTCCTCTTCAGTAACTTTTTCAAGAAAACTTACCTCAAGCCGCGTAAGACTAAGCACAAGCAATTGCATAGCAACGGTCAGAGCAGTGACAACCAAAATGGATATTACAACCTCAAAAAGACATCAAAACTAATTGGAAAAGAACTGTGAACAATTATCAGTGTTTTTTCATATTTCTAATAATCACAATATTGTGTATTGTAAGAGTTATTGACCCCCAAACTTTTCTTCACATTAATGGGCGATCACATGACTTAAAAGATTATTTATTCCTAATTCTTAGAATTTTTATTCACAATCACTTACACATTGATGTTTTAGATAAATTAGAACTTCTACCGTTTTCATTACTCTAACATTTCAGTTACCAATAGTGTGGTAAACTGTAACATATATGTCTGTAAAATCTATTGCCACGTTCACACGACAGCATGTTATCGGAGCCCTACGGCTCGAGCCAGCAAAAATGGCTGTGTATATGCGTTCGGCTAGGGCCAAGTTTGGCTCCAATAAGCCCTTGGGGTAGAACTCCGATAGGGTTGAGCCCTGACATGGCCTGACTGTGTATACGTAGGGCCCAACCATCGGAAACTCAAATCACACCCTCAATCGTCTTCTTCAACTTGAAGTAACCTCTCATTTCAATTATGGTGGAGACAAGATCATTCGTAACTTCACGCAATTTCCGATTTGACAAAGAGGTACGTGCCATATCTCTTGGCAGAGATACTATTACCTAAATCATAACACCAGTTCATTGTCTTTTCTACCTTTTTTTTCCCAGCTAAAGAAACAACACAAACAGACACCAACATCGTTTTCAGCCATGTTTTTTTTTCATACTAATTATTTGAGGGCACTGTTTCGTTCTGACCGAACTGAATCGAACTATGGCAGATCTCGGCTTTCTTTCGAATCCCGACCATATTGGATTGCATTGGAGATAATCTCCTGTTAATTGGTGGGAAGGGCAGTAGTTCGGCTCTGGTAGAATGCTGTTGTGTGAACATAGTAAATAAATAGCTTGTATTTTAGTCTTGTTCATCAGTTTTAAGCATAATTCTCTTCCCCTTACTTAGGATCTTTACACATTTTCCAAGGTCTAAACAAGATAATTTAATACACTTTTACATATGCTTATAATTATGGAACTCATAATGCCCAGAATATTATGTAATGTCACATGTCACATCATATCTCATATTTTGTGTCATGTCATGTCATGCCATGTGTCTAACTCCATATGTCACACTGATCTGAGCCACAATCAACAAATTGTGTCTATAGTTTTCTCCATTGTTTTGATCCACAATAAATAAATATTTAAATATAAAGAAATTTGGTAATATACAAACACTGGTTAAACTACTTCTGAAACTACAGTTAAGTATTGCATACGTATAGCTTCCGTACATGGAAAGTAACACAATGTGGCTGTTTTATATTTAATTAACATATTAAAGGCGAGGCTGACTTTCAATTTTTGCTGTTTTTTCTTTCCCTGATTGATTGATATTGATTTTTTGATGACCATAAAACTGCATAATTTTGCACTTTATAGAATCAAAACTGTGGTTTACTTTGAATAGCAGTGGTCATCAAGTCACGTATGGACGAGATATGGGTCTCATATGAGCAAAGATGGCGACTTTGACTGTTGGGCTTATCCACTAGTACAAACTGAGACGTTACCAAGCTTTAATTAGGTATTTTCTTTTTGGTTGAAAAGTATCAAAAGAGTACTGGTATATTCACGAATGGTAATTAATGCGTTTCATATGCCCAGGTCAAAATCATACTCTTGAATTACCACACAAAGAGCACATTGGATTGTGGGAAAATCAACACAAATGTCGCACATATGCACTGTAATGACCACCGATTTTTAACTGTATAGGTCTATAGGCCGTTGCACTTGTTTATGTAATGTGTGCCTGTATTGGTTTAAGATTGCCACAGCAGATCATAAAGCAAGTGCTGACAGTCAGGGATATTTATTACTAAACATTGACATGCTAGTTGGCAGAAATGTAAACATACAAGATCACAGTGACTGATACTGTTCATGGCTTAACACGTTTTAACATTGACAAATGTATTTCACTTCAATTACAGAGGTATAAAAATTAATACCAAGTCTCTCAATAACTTGTTACTGATTATCCTATAGACCCACTTCATTCATACCTGTAATAAAAAACATAGTTGACCAAGTGAAAGAATTTAAGTGTTCTACATGTAGAGG